TATTTTGTGTTTCTCTTTCATTTGCACTGTTTTATAGGCATTGCTAATAGAAATGCCTTCTAAGGTGTTGTACCAGGTTTGTCCATGGATTTAGTCTTAAGGCTTCCAAGGGCAATTCCCAAAGAAGGACCAAGCTAAGAGTCATCAGCCAGCAATAATCCCAGCAGATGGGAGAACATTTGCCTCATTCCTAAAGAGAAGATCTGGGCTGCACACCAAAGTATCCACAATAGTCCATCCCTTGTACTGCTTGGATTCACCTGGGAATAATTCCTCCAGCAATGGTCGGTTTCTTTTTCTGGGGAAAGTTATAAGAGGGAAGGTTAGTGGTATGACTTCGTCCTCATTACTATAGATAGTCTTGAGGCCACGCTGACGCTCATGCTGTCCAACCTCTACTTACCATTGTAGGTTCCCTTTGTTGGGGCTGCCACCTATGCTAGTCTGGGTGGTTTATCTGCAGAGTGACCTTGACTCTCATCTCTTGAGAAACAATGAAAAGTAGCCAAGTTTTCTGGTTCCTTATAGATGAGATGGGATGGAGCTAGTAGAGATGAAGAGAAGTAAACCATTTCAAACCGAGTAAAGGCAAAACTGTTGGAGAAGACTCATCTGACTGCTGGATAGAGGCTGAGCCATTGAGGACTGAGGATGGAAGCAGGGAGACAGGAGGCTATTGTGTGAATCTAGATGAGAGAAGGTGGCAGCTGTACTTGGGTAGTAGCAATGGAAGTGGGAAGAAGTCATCAGTCTCTGTAGATGTGCGTATATTTCAAAGATAAACCTTTTGCAAAGGTGAATTAAGATTTTGTCTGGGTTATCAAAGAGTTTGAATCAAGTGGGGAAACAAGCTCTGTAATGGGTTGTTTCAGCACATAATGATGAAGAGTAGTGGTAGGTACCTAGAGGAGGAACGTGGTTATGGAGCCCTTCCCGGGAAAATCTGGGGTAAGACATGACAGAAAATGAATTAGAGAAATAGGTTGGGCCAGACCATGGAGGGTCTCATAGACTACATTAAAAACTTAGACTTAATCCTGAAGTTGATATGAACAGTTAAATGGTATTATATATGGAGGCAGCACATCCCAGTTTATGACTTAGATTCTCCAAGTCGCTTTGGTGAGTGTAAGAGGGCTCATGAGTTAAGACTGAAGGCAGGGAAGCCAGTTACGATATGCAGTTGTCCAGGCTAGAGATAGTAAGCTAATATTTGTTTTGTATTTGCAACACATCAAGCACTAGTCTAAATTCTGTACGTGTATGAATTCAGTCCCCAGAAGAACCCTATCACGTCGGCACTATTAATATCCACATTTTCCAGATATATGGACTCAAGCACAAAGATGTGAACGTAAACTTGCCCAAGTTCATGGGGCCACATGGCTCTAAGCAGGAGGCAGGATTTTAACCTAGGCACCCTGACTGGAGAATTCATGCACTTACACACTGTGTTACACTCATCTCCTGAAGATGAGAGGCTGAAGATTTAGGGAAAATAATAGGGCAAATCTCTGTATTTTGTCCCAAACATAATAATTAGCTGTAATTTTGCATTAGCGTTACAGCGGTATCCATTAGAGACCCACCCTCCTATCATTTCCTTTCTTCCTTACTTAGAAGCTTGGATTCTCTTTTGGTACCTGTGTCTCTTTCTTGCTTTGCAATCCTCTGCTGACTTTCTGCAGCAACCCAGGGTACAGAGCAGATGTTCGGGATGTGTCTTTGGATCAAACAATATTGTGAATCACCTTGTCAGGTAACCCAAGTCTGTGCTTTTGTCTTTTCTCAGAATTTCCTCTTGGGGGAGTGCATTGGACTTGGTGTTCACTGGGGTGCTTTTCTTCACAGCTTTTGTTTGGGAATAGCTCAAATTAGATAAATTCAGTCACGGCCCCCAGAACATCAGTACTATAGGAGATTGTTGTGAAATACACTGGTATCTGGGGAGAAAAGTGTATCTTTCCACTAATCACTTGTAATGCAAACACAGACTGTAAATAGTCATTATGTAACTGTTATTTTTCTGACTGTCCAAATATGGAGAATCTGAGTAGTACAAGGAGTTTATAGAGAAAACAGGGTCTGGAGAATGCCTGACTTAGTTTGCCAAAGAAATGTTGGCTCTGCTGTCTTGCCTCTGATAGATGACCCCCAGGACAATGTTATTTTCGTCTCTGTTTGGATTCGAATAGGGAGGTACTGAGCATCGGCGTCTTTTTCATGTGGTTGTTAATGATACTATTACAGTTTCATGAAGCATAATACCTACCGTACCTTAGGTCAAATGTTATCCAAAAAGAGCACCTAGCGCTGATAGGGATTCAAGCCTACGTGTAACACAGAGACACCCCCCCCCCCAAATAGCCAAGAAATAGATGGCTAACACCAAGGTAGCCTGTAGCTGCAGTGCTAGGGCAAGGGGACAGTCCCTAGTACCTTGGTGAGTGTTTTCTGTGTCCTTTGTGCCAAGAACCAGAGCCACTTCAGTGACTGAAGAGAGTGGGCTGGGGCGGTGGGAAGGGGCAAGCTCAAGGAAGACAACCGTCTACATCAGAAACCAGGAGAATGAGTTCTGTTTGGGAAAGCCAGGAGGGATTGGAAATAAGTGGATGGCCACTGAGTAGGCAGGGTTCAGAAGCCCCATATTTTGAGGAAACCTGAAGCGCCTTAAAGCATGAAGTTCAATGTTACCAGCACATACTTGAGAAGCTCTAAAGTTAACCAGCCCTATCCAACCCTTCCTTCTCCGCTCATATTCCAGGTAAGGCACATTTTTATTTTTGAAATCCAGGTGCACAGTCAGGAGAAGGGAGAAAACAGTGACACCCATCTTTTTAATGAGCATTGCTAGTGGAAGAGAAATTAGCATCACCTTGACTTCTATGTGATGTCAGTTAAATGAAGGTATTTTATAGCACTTTACAACAAATTAGAATCAACTAAATTGAAAATAAGCCTAGCAGCTGGGATAAGTAATCAGGTAAGTGGCCAGTTTTGCTATTTTTGCTTTGAGTCAAAGACAGAATTTGAATTTCTAATGTCCCTGAGGTGTAGGGCTCACAATTGGGGAGTGTGGTTTCCCAGATGATGGTTGAAGATGCTAGCATTTCAGCTTTACCCTCCAGGTCTACAACTTGCGTAGCCATGTTCCTTGGAGATTGGTGCTAACGCGTAGGCATGCACACCAGAGAGAGGGCTGTGAATTAGTGTAGGGCAGAGCTCTGCTTTTGGCGGAACATTACAGAGCAGACTGGAAATGGATGACCCAGAACAGGGCAGTAAATCATCCACATTAACTGAGAGCCTCTAATGAAAGGGCTGAAATTCATAGGAAGACATTGTGGCGACTCATGAAATCAGCCCAAATCAGAGGAACTATTAGGACACTTTTGTGTTTTAAGAAAATAGTGATTGCATGCACTTCCTGCAATTTGCATCCGGTCAGAATGCCCTGACATCATAAATACTGGCTCTGGTGAACAGAATCTCACAGCCGAGCTTTTTCACTCCATGAGCCCGGTGTTTTCTTGTGTGGATCACTAGATGATTTTAGCGTCTGAAATATGCTCAGGAAGCTGCTGAGGAGGCCAAAAAGATGCTTGGTGATGATAACTCTGTTGAGGGTGGTGGCCCAGGATCTACCTGACATGTGTGCAGGTTGGCTTGTGTGGGCAAAAGGAAGAGGAGAAAAAGATGGGGCGGGATGGGGAGTTACCATAAACGAAACTTTGCAGATCGCTCAGAGTGGAAGTATTAAGGGCAACAAATGAAGATAAAATGATGCTTGTAATTATGGTTTATAAAGAGAAATAGGCCATATTGAGTATATAATTTTCTTTTTTTCTCCTCTGCAGCTGATGGATTAAATGAAATAAACTGATCTGCAGAAAATCCATGTCTCTAGGTTGTTTTTAGTCAACCTTAGAGAAACATGAAATATGCAGATTTTTCTCCTCTTTACTTAGACTTTCTATTTGAAACACTTTTCTCAAAATATTTATGTTATCTTAATTTTTTTCATCTTAAAATAGTCACATAACTTTTCAGATACCTAATTACTGAAGCAGCAGATAACTTTGCACATGAAAAATAAAAATGCTACACGGAACTTTCTCTTATTTCTTCAGTAGTCCTCTCTTTTTCCCTAACCAGCAGCGCTTACTTGATTTTCAGTACTTGAGACTTTAGATTTGGATATGGAAAGAGCAAGGTTTTAAATTTCTGTCATCATTACCTTCTGATAATTCTGTACCCTAAGCCTAAGCCAGGGGAGTAAGCAGGAAAAGCGGACTTCTCTGCCAGAGTATCAAATATATCATGACACCGTGGAAGATGGGACGGGTCTCTGATGAATCCCGCTAGTACTGAAACATATCTTCACTACTGAACTCCAAACTGACAGCCTCTAGTGCTTGCCCCCTGTTCAGCCAACTTGGGTATTGTTCAAGGTGGCTCTTCACTGGTTTGACAGATTATTGTGCTCTGAGAGCATGAACACAAATGCCCAAGTCGTAGAGGTTATCCACTGTATTTTGTTGCTTTGATTAAAAGAGAATTGAGTGAATTTAATAGGAGAGGGGTTCAAAGGCACTGAAATTCTCTTCAGAAAAACCGTTCTTTGCAATACCTCACCTCTATTTTGTGCTGCCCTCTGCTGGCTAATAAATTTCGTAGTGTGGAGTGTTGAGAAAAACCTAGAGGTCGCGAACACTGGGGGCTGGCTGCCATCACTTCTACTTTCCACTAGAAAGTAATTTCCCATTTTGTCGTATAAAATGTGGGCCCAGTGTATAGTGATGAATTCAGATGCACTGAAGATATAAATTGTAGAAAATGTGAGACTAATTTGGTGATTTATATGGACTTTGTAATGCCTGTGAAAGAAATAATTTTGCAGCTTATTGCATGATGAGTCAGATTTTCCGAATCATTGATGTGAAAATCCAGTGTTACTGTAAATGATTTGGACACTTTTTCTCCATGCTTGTATTTTTCAGTGGCTGCTAATTTACAGAAGATTGTAGATGATCCCAAAGCTTTAAAAACCTTGACATTTAAGTTGGTAAGTTGAAAGTTCCGGAAGGAAGGTAAATGTTTTTGCCATGCTCTGCCAGCAAGGACTAATAACACGGTTTAATAACCTGCTCTGTAATTCCCTTGCTGCTCTTACTCTCTTTTGGGATCCATTTTTGCATTTGTCCTTTGCCGGTTTAACCTGTGGGAATGTTTTCTGACCACGACTGGGAACTTCCTCTTCCGTGAGCATAGCTTGTTTCCCAGGACATCTTTAAGAGCCGCCATTTGGGAAATCTTGGCACTCATGCCATTTTGCCTCCCGCTTGTGTGGCACCTTGACCGTATAGACGAAATTAAACCTAATTCCAACCAACACTCTTAATAAAGCTTTCATAAGTGAAAGCCAGGTGGTTCTAACTTTTAAAAAAATTGAGGCTGATTGTTGTAGAAATGGTTTAGGTAACTGGAAACAGTTGTGGAACTACTCGCCGAAGGCTAGTGAACAAAGACATAACATTTTAACTCCACATTTCAAATCACGGTAATAGATTCTCGTAGAGAAGGGGTGTTGCGACAGTTTTTCTGCACTCGTAGACTTTAAGAACTAGAGCGGCCACAGAGATACAGATCCTGAGTGTGTCCTGGCATCGTTCTGAAAGCAAGAGATAGGGTGACCATGGCTGGAAACGGGGCGCAGTCCTAACAGGCAGAAGCGACGGTTTTCCTGAAAGTTTTAGCAAACAGTACATTAAGTGACTCATTTTAAGATTATAAATCTCATCAAGAGCCAGTCCAGATGCCGCAAGCAATTTAAGATATAAATGACTAGCACTTTGCTGTGCACAATATATATTGATGATCTGTCTTTTTTATTTCTTGTGAGAATTTAATGGAAAATGCGCATGGCCGAAGATGTGAAATGATTAGTTACAGTAAATGTTAGCCCTGTGCTAATTAACTTTCTGGGTCTTGCCTCACATCTAATTTCAGATGGCTAGGCTGTGTGATGAGCTTTTTCAAACACAAAGATTCTCACAGAAAGAATTTATCTGAAGAAATTTGTTTTCAATAACAAAAGAACATTTTACTCAGACATAGGATGATAAACTAAGAAATTGAAAAATCCGTCTTCTGCTTTAGGACTCTTCTGTCACCTCTGTTATGTTTCTAATTCACCTACATCTTTGTAAACATATTTCATTTGTATGAGGATATATTGATGAGAACATGGTATCCTGTGTCAGGATTTCAAGCCTGTTAATGTTTCTTTATTCATTTTTTATAGCATAAGAAAGTTCTAACACACCACCTCCAGAAGATTTGCCTAATTTTGAATATGTAAACAGAGATAAGAAATGAAGGTTTTCATGCTGGCTCATCCCCACACTCGCTAAACTTGCTTACCTATGAAACAGGAATAGCAACCCTGGCCCTTTCCTGTTACCAAAGGTCTTAGAGAAACACCTAGTGTTGTCTGCTCTGAACAGTAAGAAGAAGGTCAAACTCCTCTCATCTCCTACTCGAATCAGTTTATTACTTCTGCAGATGCTCTTGTTTGACTCCGTCCTCTTCTCTCCATCCCCATTTCCAGCACTCTCGCAGGGTTCTCTCATCTCCCAAAACGGATCTTCCTGCCTATGGTCTGCCTGTGTCCGGCTCCCTTCACTACACCGTGGCAGTGGCCAGAATACTTCTTCTGCATTGCAAAATGCTCCTAAAACTCAAAGCCCGGACCAGACCTCCCTTTCGGGCTCCTGCTTTATTACCTTTCTGTATCTCCCCTCATTCTGTCTTCTCTCATTCTCATCCTCTGTCTTCTCCTACTTTTGTCTGCTGGCCTTTTGTATGTGCTTCTCTCTCTCTCTCACTAAAATATTCATCCAGCTTCTCCAAGCTGCTGCTTTGGCTCCTCGACACATAGGCATGTTCCGACTTTCTGCTTCAATTTCACTTTCTCCAGGAAGCCTTCTCTGACATCCAGTGCTGGCTCAGGGGCTCCTCCTCTGTTCTCCGCCACGAATTCATATCTCTGAGAAGTCCAGAGCTTCCGGGGGCCAGAGGCTGCTGCACAGAAGCCAGCACACAGCAGAGGGCTTGATAATTAAAATGTACCAGAGTAATACAAACGTCAGTTAGAAAAACTTCAGCCATCATTTTTCCCTCAACATTTATTTTAATCCCTGTAAAATAATTAAGATGGTGGTTTCTGCTTCATGCCCTCTTTTTAGAGTCCCTTAAAATTCCTGGGCCTGCCCTGCAGAAAGGACAAGAATCACTTTCTCAGGCGTCCACTGTTTGCTAGACCGTGCCTGAGGTGGTTTACACACTTCATCTCAGTTCATCTAATCCTCAGGATCCCACAAGATGGTGATATCATTAGGTTCATTTTCTGTCCTGGGAATCCGAGACTCTGTGGGGCTAACTTGCCCAGGATCAGACAGTGGAGACACTGCAAATTCAACTCCGGTCTAGCGTCCCAGCCCATCCTCTCAATTGCTGTTCGTTCTGGGAGGCAGGGCCCTTGCAGCTCTGTGGTTTTATGGTTTTCTGTTTCTCTGTGGATTCCTGCTTTGGGATGATGGGATCCCTGGACAGTGGTTGAGGTGGATTCTCTCCTGTACTTTCAGCAGATTGAATAGTATGGGCCTGCCCGGCATAGGAGTCTTGCAGGAGAACCCGGGCAAGTCTTCCCTTCCCCCGATAGCTTGAGAAGGCAGTAATGTACTGTTCCCAGAAGATGGAAATTAATGGCTTTTTCCCAAAAGACAGCTAACAATGTTAAATAACCTTCGGTTTTGGTCACTTCACTCTCTGTCCAGCCCTTGTTAAACCTGAAGAGGTTGCTTTGTTGTTACCCATTGCCAGCCAGTTTGAGATCCACTCGATAGAGCTCATTTGAATTGCTTCTTGGCCTAATCTTCTGTAGAACACTAACATCCTGGTAAAACCACAGAGATTCAAATGCACTTGCCTTCGTTCATCAATTTGGCTATTTTCTTGAAGAATAAAAGAAAGTATTTCAGAAGCATTTTTCCTCACAAACTACTGCTGCTCGTGGTCCTTTTATCTCTCAGCTGTTTATCATTTTTATCTCAGAGCTTTCTTTGCTTTCTAAAGGAGAATGTCAGGGGCCTGAAAATCGTCTAAAGAACAAAGTTGTATCTTGGTGATGTGGTTCCTTACCTCAGAGAACAGCGGTTTACTCAGGGGATGGTTGGGGCACGTCACAAAATCGCTCTTGTCCCGGTCCTGTACCAGATATCCTAATGTAATTGCTCTTGGGCTCTGGGTATTTTGAAGGTGTCCCCTGGTGATTCCAGTATTTAGCCACGGCTGAGAAACATGCTGTTTGTAGATAGCTCAGTCTCTAATCTCCTTTCTCTCCACTCTCCCACCTCTGTTAGAAATACTGGGCTCAAGTTTGAAAAGGTGGGCTGTCCTTATATATCTGCTTATATAAGAAAAACAGTGGCCCAGGGAACAAGGATATTGGTTATATCAAGAAGTGCATTTACTTTTCTGCCTGTCCAGTGAGATCTTTAGCTTCATTTGACAAATAATAAATGAAGTATGATTTCCATTGTTGGCATGGCCAGAGGCAAGGTGATCAGAAGCCTTTTTTTCTCTTTTTTTTATATATAGCACTTTTAACAAAGTGGTTCAAGCATAAAGCGCATTTCAGCTCAAGTGTAACATGCTTTGAGTGCAACATCTCAGTACTGTTTTATTGTTGATTGTTGTAAGCCTTGCCTTGAGACAAGTCTAAATGTTGAAGGCATTTTTTAATCTGCTGCCTTGAAGTTCTATAAAGTAATTGAGTCTTGCTGCTTTCAGTGTTAAGTTTTTGAAATTGCATTAGTAAAAATATGATATTGCATTAGTAAAAATATGAAATAAGATAATTCGCCCTTAAAGATAGAATGCAAATTGTAAGTACATGTAAGTAACATCCACTTGGTACACATTTATGTGAGCATTACAGATTTTAGTTACTGAAGTTAAATAACATGCCTTTTACATAGAGCAATTTCCAGGGCGCCTGGGTGGCTCAGATGGTTAAGCGTCTGCCTTCGGCTCAGGTCATGATCTCAGGGTCCTGGGATTGAGTCCCGCATCGGGCTCCCTGCTCCTTGGGAGCCTGCTTCTCCCTCTGCCTTTCTCTCTTACTCTGTCTCTCATGAATAAAAAAAGAAAAAAAAAAAAAATCTTACATAGAGCAATTTCCTAAGCATCTTGGCAATTCATGATTAATGGGTCTTATGTATTTCATAAATAGGACTTGAAAGTTGAAACGACTCCTTGACCCATGAGTTGTCGAATGGCTGCTGTGTTAGCAGGCATGAAAACCACCTTAATCATTAAACTCATTGTCCCGTCTCCATCAGAGCTCTTGGGTGACAAGTTCATTGTCAATGAGCAGTAACATTTTGAAAGAAATCTTCTTTTCTGAGCAGTAGTTCTCAATGGTGGTCTTCAAATATTCAGTAAACCATTTTGTAAGCTAAGGTGCTGTCTTTTGTTCCATTTATAGACCATAGATTCTATAAATATATCTAGCATAATTCTTAAGGGCCCAAGGACTTTCGGAAAAGTGAGTGAGTGTTGGCTTCAACTTAAAGTTACCAGCTGCAGTAGCCCCTAGCGAGAGTCAACCTGTCCCCTTTAAAGCTTCTGAAGCCAGGCACTGACTTCTCTCTAGCTATGAAAGTCCTAGATGGCATCTTCTTCCAATAGAAAGCTGTTTTGTCTACATTCAAATTCTGTTGTTTAGTGTAGCCTACTTCTTTAATTCTCTTAGCTCTGTCTTCTGGAGAACTTACTGCTTCACCTTGCACTTATATATTATGGAGACAGTTTCTCTCCTTAAACCTCAGGAACCAACCTCCTCTAGCTTCCAGCTTATCTTCTGCAGCCTCCTCACCTCTCTCAGCCTTCAGAGAATTGAAGAGAGAGTTAGGGCCTTGCTCTGGATTAGGGTTTGGCTGAAGTGAATGTGGTGGCTGGTTTGATCTTCTATCCAAACCATTAAAACTTTCTGCATATCAG